CACACACACACACACACACACACACACACACACACCGAGAGAGAGAGAGAGAGACCAGCAGTACATCCTGCACAGCGGGAGGGGAGGAGGGGAAAGAAAGGCAGCAACTTGTACAGATTATCTGTAAATTATAAGGATTTTACATCATTTTGCAGGTATACAGACATATAGAGCAATCTCACGGATTTTTTCAAGTCTTACGGATATTTTAAAAACCCCATTTTCAAATTTATCTAACATGTCAGAGCCTATAGGACGATTTAAAAAACAATAAATAACATCAAGCAGCCATCTTCCAACCTGTTCTGCTGCTAGAAAAAAGTTACTTTTCCCTCTCTCCTTTCCTCCTGCTTCGCAGCAGGCGCTTTCATGTCCGCAACTGCCCCCCACCCCGCGGGTGCGGGTTGTAAGGATTTTCTGCAAAATTTATGGATTTTTAGGGCTCTTTATACAGGTAAACTACTTTTATTCCTGATTTAAACTAGCGATCATGTGAGCAGCTGCAGTTGTATGCTTTTATTTTTTTCTGTCAGGCTGTCGGAGCGCTCCTCCTCCTCTGTCCGGGGCTGGTGTGGGGTGAAAATCCTCCACCTCAGACGTTCAGAGATGTAACTGTCTGCGATACTGTGGTCATTTTCCATGTAGCATCAATTATGCTAATGCTACCTGTCACGTTCTCTCGTCCTGGCCACACCTCCGCTCTCTAACCCCCCCTCCCCTACCCACTTTGATGCATTTTTCAAATTTCGCCTTGGGGCGGAGTTATCTTTTCACAGGGGGGTAAGATACACTTTAAAAAAATTCACCTTATTCAAACCATTATGGCTATAACTTTTGAATTTTGTAACTTGCACACATTTTGAAATATTTATTATTATTTACTTTTTTTGTCATTGAAATAAAAGGAAGAGTTTGTGCTCTTCTGTACTTGCTTCATTTTGAACATTTAGCTACTCTTTTGCTTGTTTTAGCTTTTAGCTATTCTTTGTCTTTTTCCTCTTACATATTGTTCTGTCAATCTTAGCTTTTTGCTCCAACTTCTCTAATTTTGGCTTTTAACTATAGTTTTGCTGTTTTCTGGCTAATGGTTGGCTAGTTTAAACTTTTAGCAATTTCTTTTGCTAGTTTTTCCCCATTAGCTCACATTTTCTTGATCTTAACTTTTAACCACTTCTTTTCTAATTTTAACTTTTAGCGTTTAGCTTTTAACGTTTAGCTTCTTTATGCTTTTAGCTACTATTTTGCTAATATCAGCTTTTTGCTACGTCTTTGCTGGTTTTATTTTTTGGCTAGTGCTAATTTTAGCTTTTATCTACTGCTTTTTTGTTTGTTTTGCTACAGTTTTGTTAGTTTTATCTTTTGGCTTGTGTTTTGCTTGTGTTAATTTTTTTGGCTTGTTTTAGCTACCGTTTAGCTGTTTCATGGTTATAGCTACCGTTTAGCTAATATCAGCTTTTTGCTACTTCTTTGTTGTTTTTTTTGGCTAGTGCTAATTTTCGATTTTAGCTGTTGCTTTGTTATGTTTTTAGCAAGAGCTTTGCTAGCTTTATTGTTTAGCGTTTGTCTAGCTGGTTTTTTGTTTTAGTTAGTGTTATGCTAATTTTAGCTTTTTTAGCAGCTTTGTTGGTTTTATGTTTTACCTGGTGTTTTTCTAGTTAGCTAGTGCTTTGATGGTTATACTTTTCAGCAACTATTTTGCTTGTCTTAGCATTTAGCTCATGTTTTGCAGATTTTATTTTATTTTTCCTGCTTGTTTTAATTTTATGTAATTCAAGCTTCTGCAAAATGTTTCAGCAGTACTTAGAATTCATTTATTCTCAGAAATCTGAAATTTCTTGTTTTCTATTTTCATTTCTCTCTGCTGAAGAGGGATGGATATTTTAGCTGGAACAGATGAAGCTAAAATTAGCATCAGCTGCAGCAAACAACTCAGACATCCCAGACTTTCCTAACCTCGTCGTAAAGCTTCACATCCATCCTGCACTGGTCCGCGGGCCACAGGAGGACCGAGCTCACACAGCTAATGGGCAGCGTTTCTAAGACGGTGACGCTCCCACTGCACGACTCGTTGTTTTCATTTGACGTCAAGCTGTTTTTCCTCCATTGGTGATCTTCTTCGAGCAGATAGAGGGTTTCTCTGGTTGCCAGAACGGTCACAGGCATCCAGGTGTCCTCTATTAGAAAACAAAACAAAACAACAAAAAATAAGAATGAACTTTAAATAAAACTCTACTTAAATCATTAGATGTAAATTTACCACAAAGAACCTTGGAGTCAACACATTTCAAAACTTAACCGACATATAAATGGGTTTAAAATGCAGTGTGGTAGTAGCTGAGAGTCATTCTTAATACACACTCTGAGCTCCAACTGATCATGTGACATCTTTATTCAAATTCTGACATGCAGCTAATATGCTATTTTTTTACATTATGCAATGAGACAGTAACAATTTAAAACAGGCAACCAGCTTGTTTTTAGTTTATTTTAGCACCTCCCACCCAATACTTTTTATTCTTTCAATGTTTTACAAACATTAATGATAATAGCCATAATGTTTACACTTGTATATTAATTTTCAACACACAGTTACCATTAAATATTTACCATTTTCTCAGAGCTGGTTATAAACGCACTTTAGGAAAAGAATCAGAAGAAAAGGAGCAATCTGCTGCACTGCTGCGTTTGCAAAAAGAGACGGCATGTCTGGACTGTTATTGTGATGTTTTACACCCAGCCAAGGGATTATGCATGCGTTAAATATTGGAAAATTATTAGTCCTTCCATATTTTCTATCATATACACATTTAAAGATGAGATCACGATGAGTGGATTCATGTTTTTTTGGATTGTTTTGTTCCCCAACCACAAAAATCTGTTTTCAAAGCTCTTGCAATGACTTTAGTGTATTGGAATTCAAATATTTTTGATTTTTATCATTTCACGTCAGAATGTGTAAATTAAAAAAAAAAAAACATTTTAAATTTAACTAGCCAATATTACCCAGAATTTTGCTAAAAATCAATCCAGTAAGTACAGAATAATAACCTCTACAAGAGCCTAAATATGGATAATTGTATTGTACAGATTCCTACAGCATGTCCTTAACATGGAAAGTATCATTAATTATTATTAAACATTTCTAAGCAGCACTTTTACCACTTAGATATGCTGGATACTTTAGGCAAAAACTGAAAAGCTAAATCTGTCTCGTTGTCCTGGCGATAACTTGGTAAATATTATCCCCTAAAGTTATGATTTTTTTGTCATATTCCTGATTCATGTTTTCCCAGAAATAAAGGGATTCTGAAGTAAAAACACCTGGTTGTGTTGACATGAAATATGGAATTAGTTTCTCCTTTTATAAAGTATAATCAAACACAAAGTTTAGACCTCCAACAAAACCCTGACATGGGTGGCATATCTCCAGCCGAAATGTTTGGAGTTCTGACCTTTTACCTTCTGACCTTGTTCTGTAGGCAACAGTTACAGATCACTGATAGAAAACACTTTATAAAAGGGTCTCTGACGTGTTCAGACTGGGCTGGATGAAATTCCACAGCCGTGCTTAGCTTTGCTCAGCCTCCAACTACTTTAGGCTTTAAATTAAATATTTCTCCTGCAGCGCAGGCTGACGTAAACCCTGCAGCTCCGATACATTTGGTCCTAACCACATGCATGCAAATACAGTCATCTGTCAAAGCCGCTCAGTCTAAACAATGTATTTCTGCCTCATTTATTGGCAAAGGTTACGGGGCTTGTTGACAGGCGCCTCACGTCAGCGGCTGGCCACAAATCACCTCCTGTTTTCTACATTTTGCTCCTAGCATTTCTTTTCTGGTCGCAGTCCTCCCCTTTAGCACTTCATTGAGTTTCTTCAGTGTTTCTAGGGCTCGCCAGAATTAGTGCCACCTCATTTCTTTCTTGTATTTTTGGGTGAACGCTGATTCAGCATTCAAACTACTGGTTTCCTTGTTTTTATTTTTCTGCACTTTTTGCAGCCGAACTGCTTCTGGACACTTTGTGCTATTTTAGCCGTTCATACACCAAAACATTTAGATCATTCAGAAGATGGATGCTATGACTTATTTTTTGTTATTTTTTTAAGATACAGCAGGTAAAACAAGTATTGAACACGTCACCATTTTTCTCAGTAAATATATTACTAGAGGTGCTAATGATATGAAATTTTCACCAGATGTTGGCAACAACCCAAGTGAGCCATACACACAAAGAAATCAAACCATAAATGTCCAGAAATGAAGTTATTTGTAATAATGTGGAATGGCACAGAGAAAAAGTATTGAACACATGAAGAAAGGGAGGTGTAAAAAGGCATGGAAAGCCAAGACACCAGCTGAATTCTCTCAGTAATTTGAAAGCAAGCCTGCCCCTTGAGCTGGTTCAGTCACAAATGATGGCCAGGTATCACACAAGAAC